CAAAATAGATTAGCACATTTATCAAGTCTCATCAGAGAAGGATCTTCTTGTACTAGATTGTTTTTAATGCAGAGACTAAGAAGTGATCAAGACTCAGAGAAGGAGCCACTGAGCCTTAAATGGAGTACCCCTCACACGTTCTTTACTCCTGGTACTCAAAGTCAACATGGAAGAGAGGGAGATTGGTTATAAGAAACAGAAATAAAGGTATACTAATGAGAAATAGAATTTTAGAGACATAGGAGGGCCTTTGTACATACAGTTGTCACTGCATGCAAAGAATCTGTACATGATCAAACTCAGTCAAAATTCTAGCTCATAAAGTCTCATCCCAGACTAAGGAGTTGTTTACATTCAATGGCTGATTTGGGATGAAGATTCAGATCTTAAAGGGTAATATACCATCCCATAAGAAATGTTGATAGCTCATGGCCTGGTGAATGTTCATATACTATTGAATATACTGTCAATATAAGTGTACTTGGATGGTTTATAAAAGTATGCATGACGTTGGGAAGGGAAAGTAGTGGTGGGGGTTACAGGAAGGTTTGGGAGGGAATGGAGTAAATGAAAATCTTTTATACATGTATGAAATTCCAAGCAGCCACTAACTAGTGTTCAGTTAAACCTTTTGAACTTCATGTCAAAGTCAACAGACCTATGAAACACTGGAAAAATGTCTATCATCTCATATGTATTTATCTTTCTGTCCTATTTATCTTTCTGTACTTCATTTCATACTAGCAATTAAATACAATCTTAGTACATAGGAGAGCACTCTTGAATGTAGAATTTCAATAACCTTATGCATTCAAATATGTTTTTCCCTCTCATAAATGGTGTTTTGCTAAATTCTCATCTGCTCCATTTGTTTTTTTAGGTGATTTCAATTGTGTGAATCTATGAGATGGTAGATATTAGCATGGCATAATGAATAATTTTAATAGGATGGTCAAGATTCTTAAAAGTCAATGATAATACTCCAACAATTATGAGCAAATATTGAAATTCAGTACCTTGGAAGATTAAAAAGCAGCAACAACAAAAAACTATCGCTCCTAGTGTGTAGAAAGTAGGTTGGAAATGGAAATAATATAAGTGTCCTTTAACTAATGAGCAGATCATGAAAATGTGGTATTGATATGCAATAGAGTAATATTCTGATCCAAACAAGTCATGACGTTTTCAAAGAAATAGATAGACCTAGAAAACTTGATATTGAATGAAATAACCCAGACCCAGAAAAACAAATGTCACATTTACTCTGTCATTTACAATTTCTCAGATGTTAGTGTCCAATATAGAGTAAGCATAGGAGCTAAGAGTGTGAAGAGACCATAGGTGTGGGCATTAGGTGGCAAGAGAAGTCGCAGGATATAGATGATATAAATTGAGAAACAGGGAGGAGGCTCCAAATGGGAAAAATGAATGAATCAGTATAGGAGGAGAAGAAGGGACAAATAACACCAAGGTTGTTAAACAAAACCTCAAGGAATATTTTATTTTATTTTGTTTTATTTTATTTTTTGTTTCCCTCCAAATGGTAGTGATTAATGTTTTTCAGTTAATCACAATGAGGTCACTAATAAACCTACTATCCTATACAAATAGAGTCAGAATAATTTTATATTTACCTTAATTAAACACAGTATACTTAAGTGCATGTGCATATAAAAATATACTCATGTCCCGCCCTATCCCTACACATACACATCTTAAAGGAAATTAAAGCACTTGGGTTGAGGATGTTTCCCACAACAGCAATAGCCTAACAAAAGTCCCACTATCAGACATGGGAAAACTTTTGAAGGCTTTGTCATGGAAGTGCAAGAGACTCCTAAAAAACAATGTAGCTTGTCAGTATAGCCCCTGCTTGCCTCTCAGAGGTAATGAGAACCCATATTGATGAATATTTCAAACACTTAGGACACACAATTTAGACGGACCGAGTTGAATCTGACTTTAAACCCTCTTTCTTGTGGTCTACCTTCTATGGCTCCAGAAAATACTTAAGATGCCAAAAGAGGGAAACCAATTAAACAGTCCTATCTAACTTCAACACATATGAACTATAACGATTACCAGCAAGGCAAGATATGCATAAAGGTACTATAAGTGGCACTCACATGTTGAGAGTAACAAATAGTTTTCTAATTTGACGTAAGTTCCACTCAACAAGAGAAAAATCATCCCTTGTACTGAAACCCCAACCTTCTCTGTGCTAGGAAGGTTATTGATCTTAGAAAACTTCCTTCACACATCAGCATAATTCTTTACTACATTGTAAATCTTACCCACAGGCAAATGTAATTAGCACCCCTCATCAAAGCAGCTTCATTTATAAATAAATAGATAACATCACTGAAAACCAAAAGTTGACACAATGCAGAGATCAAAGGACCATAAGGACCCAAGCTCTAAAAACCTACATAAACCTCATAATTTCTGTGTTCAGGGTTTAGGGAACATCACAGAAGAGGGGTCAGAAAAATTGAAAGAACAAGAACATCAAAAAGTTGCTGTCAACCACTCTATCCTAGAATTGACTGCATTAACAAAAGCAGAACAGTAATGGGCATATTAATATGGAAGGGAAAAACCCACAGGATTTCATCACTAGACAAAGAACCCCAGCAACCATTGTCTGCTGGGGAAAAAATCTTAGCCTCTCCCAGGGATGAGCCCTCTTACTGTTTGTTCAATGAAGAGTAGTCAGCTTTAAACTATAGTCACACAGATAGCCAAAATAAACTCATTGGTGTCTAATTTCATATATTTATACACACATATAAATATGCGTGTGGGAAAGAAATATAATAAAAGAAGACATTGTCAACTTCACAGTGTGGGTGACATAGAAGGGGTTCAAGGATTGGGTGTGGACAGGGGAAGGAAATGAAGGAAGAAGTGACATAGCTCTATTTTAACAAAATTATTAATAAATAAATCCCCCCAAATAAAGAACAAAACAGAACATCACCACCACCACCAACAAAGCAAATGTATCTAGGAGAGATGGCTCAGTGGTTTAAGAGAGCACTGTGTTTATGCAGAGAAAATGAGTTTGATTCCCAGCTTTTGTGCAGGGTAGCTCACAGCTGCCAACAGATCTTGCCTTGGTAAATAAGGCACCCTCTTCTGGCCTTCATGTGGAATCACTTGTGTGCACATACCCACACTCAAACATATACACACATGCATATAATCATTAAAATTAAAATGAAATCTGAAAAAAAAGCCAAGTAAGACACAACTTTAAAATGAAATACTCCATGACTTATTTGAGTTGTTTCCTTCAAATATCAATTTGAACAGAGCAGAATCAATGGGAGTTATAGCCACATTTATGTCTCCATAAGACTGTCCTTCCTAGGAGCATTTTGTTCGTGGGGGAACCTTCCAGTAGATGAAAAAATAGGTAACTTTGGAGGAACTCAGATTGATAAGGCCAGTCCAGGTGAGTGGGGAAAAGGCCAACTCACACCTGCCACCCCAGCTAGCTTGTTAAGAGCAATCCTGGTTTGATTGCCTCCAGAAATCCCTTTGGCCACTGTCTTTTCAATGCTCACATCTGTCTGTGGAAAGAGTTCTGGATTAGATGAAGTATTTCCATCAAAAATGCTCTCATTTTCTCCAAATTAATGAATTCAGCTTACTTGTCTTATATAAAGGCAGGCCTTTTCCAATTCTGGTATACACCATGATCACAAGCAGAGATTTGTCCATAGCGTATAACATATTACTTAAGAAAAGTGTACTATATAATATCTGGACAGCATAATTAACATAGGAAGTGTGAAGTCATGGCCCCATTTATTAATACATCTAAATAAGCCCAGTGATATAAAACTCATTTTGTTGTTATCATGACTTGCTTTTCATTGGTTGGGTAGTCATCAAAGCCATAGACTCCTACACACTACCAGGAAAATGCACGTTGCATCTCTCCTTCATTTACATCAGTTCTGCTTTAGACCTCAGAGCTTCCCATAGACTTCCGATGCACTGTTTGATGTTGAGGTTCCAGTGGCCACCAGTATAATAAATATAACAGTGTGTTAGATGTAATCAGTGTCCAAATAAGAGGCTATGGAATGAGAAGTCACATACTCTGGGTTCATGACAAGAAATCTCGTTTGAAAGAAGATAACATAGTATTGCTTGTCTTCTAGAGTGCCAGATGAGATAGGTGGCTATTGCTGAGAACCATCAATAAGAGATGTTAATTTAGCCCAAGTTAAGGTAATTACCAAGCGAAGCCAGATGTATCAACTAATCTAATAGTATCACAATCCTTATACGTGTCACCAAATATATCTAAGTTAGATTTAAGCAAAGATTCATGGACAGAACCTGATTGTTACAGTAAGCCTTGTTCAAGGTCTTTAGTAGTCATATCTTTGGCAGTAATCAGAAATTATTTGATAGTGTTTGACGGCATGATTATGACTTCCTACCTAAAGGCCTTCTAAACATCTGAATTTGAATCCTGTGTTACTATTATGGGCCTAGAATGAAATGGCAAAATGTTGAGTTGTCCCATGTGTATCTGCTGAGACTCATAAGAGTTAAGCTGCTCATCATATGTGACTCTAACTCAGGCCTTGTGTTCCAATGCTCAGAATTAATTAAAACTTATGTTATCTTATCCAAGATTCAGTAAATATTTCAGAAGTGGTCACTAAAATACTTAAGACCAAAAGGAAAGACATGGCTGTTTTCCTAGGTCATGAAATTCCGACCAGTCATCATGGGGGAGAGATGATTCTATTTATTCATACTTTAATTTGGAACCTGGTCTTGGGCTTGAAATAAGCCAAAGGATGCATAAGTGACTACCTTAGTCACCATCGGTATGGTGCTTTTGACATCATTGAGGCAAAAGAAATATGGAGCCATCACTGAGACTGCAGGTGTGTACTTCCTCCTGCCTCCTAGCAGCTTATGGCCTTGGGCATGGTATACTGCAATATGTAGAGGTGGAAAATTAAAGCAGAACTACTGTGAAGCAGATTTCCAGAATCAACAGGCAAGCCGTGGCTGGACTCATTAGAGATGGTGCTGTCTTTGACTCAGCCATCTTTCTGTAAGTAGTTCTGACCCTCTTTCTAAATGAGCTTAAACAATGCACCATGTTGAAAAACTTCTTCAGGCAATTTGCTTCTTTGGTGATATTATTCTTGTACATGAAGTGAATGGACCTTTATATATGCCTATCTTACAAAGTAAGGCCAGATATTACTGAGAAGTGCTTTCTAAGTCTTACTTTAGAAAGCAACTTCACAGTATACTCTTACATCAGTGGTTCTGAAAGGGAAGCTTTCTTATCCTAGAGATAGACCGTGATGTCTAAGGACATTTTTCATTGTCTTAATTGGCCTAAAAAAAAAAAATAAGAGGAACAGTACCTGAGTCTAATGGTAGAGACTAGCAATGTGCGTGGTCAACAATGTACAATCAAGAGAGATCCAGAATGTGGACAGATCCATCTCTAAAAGTCATAACTGTAGATGCTGAGATGTTTGACTGTAATGATAACACAGAAGTTGATGGGTTCAATATATAACTACTGTAGAATGAAGTAGTATGCTCTTATTTCTGGGGACTTGAGTGAATTTAAATTGAATTCTGGAAACATAGTAGACATGGCTAGAAGATGTGGATTTATATTACTTTGACAATTTTGTGCCAATGATATGTTACACATTTCCAATTACATTCATTAAAAGTTTAATGGAACAGAGAATTTTTTCAGATTTCAATCACTAAAAGTGAATGGATTTTTCATGCTGAGACATTTGCTGGTTTATCCTGCTGAGTGTGTAAACTAATGATATATTACAGTTCTGTTTTTATTCATTTGTGAAATAAAATTAATGATGAAACCAATATCAGTCATTATAAAATGGAATGGAAGATTTTGATAGAGCAATGGAAGTCGACAATCATATAGTCTACTGGGTCATGTGATCATGTGATCAAAAGTAAAGATTGGACTCTACAAATAACAGTGCCTGGTGATACTTATATTTGATTATGGGCATCATTTCTGCCACTGTAATCTGTATGAAAGCTCAATATGGTTAAGACATCCCATTGTGGGGTACAAAGTCTACATAGTGCCCACAGCAGCTAAGAATAGGACTTAAGGAAGATCACTTAATCTCATAAGTGTCCTCTTTTGTCAATATAGTTTAATGATATTACACTGGCCCAGTCTACTTACAGGGTTATTGTAAAACTCAAATTTGTTAAGAAAACAATCTGAATCTTTGGGTAGAATGGCATATGAATGTGTGTTTTATTGTGACTAAGCCAAGCCAGCCTACATAATCCTTTCTATGACAGAACTCTCTTCAACCTCCTTATTGAACAACGGGCAAACATGTCTTCATTTTTACCAGGGATGAAGTTGAAATGGTAGTGTACTGTCCTTGTAATGAGGCAAATATTGCCTATTCAGTAACAAGGGTGTCTGGGAGACAGTGGCTACTTAAGATTGACATAAATTCCCAGTACACTAATCTGTCTCCTGAGAATGACTTAAATATACTCAATAGCTTAAAGTCCAAAACTTCAGAATAAGTTCTGATAATCCACAGCTAGATAATGTCTTTATGTTCAGAAAACATATATCTGTGTGAATGTGATTACTTAATTGAAATTTTTCATTCGAAGTTGTATATTCACTACCACAGCTGTAGATTGCCAGATGAGAGCAGACAATGGAAGAGATAAATGTTTTTTGATAACCAAGAAAGAATCACCACTGATAACCTGAGCTGTGTAGTCCAGTGTAACTTGTATGTCTATACAGTAGGAATACTCCCACTGTTGTTGATGTCAAACCTACTACAGTGGGAGAATGTGACTTCTGCTTCTATTCACCACAATGAGAATCACTATGGTGAGGTGTCCCTCAAAGGCCTGTTTGAACATGCAATCAAACTGTCAAAGGAATCCACTGCTCTCACTATGGAAATGCGCAAGATATTTGTAAGTATCTCACTTACTTCTGGTGTCTTCAGCCAATGATTCTAGTATATTTCAGAAGAGATCCAAACCATATTTCTAATAATACAAGTTTCATAGAAAAGAGAAAATACAAGCTACTGAAAAATAGGACAACGAGAATGGGGCACTTTTGTGAAATTACAAAGACTTTCAAAGAATTCAATGACTTACAAAATTTTCCTCCAGTAACATGATATTTTTTAAAAAATAAATTATTCTTAAATTGACATGAGTGGCAAAAACCCCAATAGTCATATCTCAGAAAATGACTTGATTTTCTTACCTTGTTTGCAGGAAGTTGGTGGCCATTGGTATCTTCAATTGGCAGACAACCCATAGAAGAAAAGTGGAGTATAGTGACTCACGTAGGATGTATAAAACAAATATAAATTGTACTGATGCCAGTAAGGAAATATAAAAATAATATAAAGCCTCTTAGAAACCCCTAGATACCAAGGATCATTGTATAAAAGTTTTCCATGGGATGCTTATTAGTAAGAGGGCAGGATTAGAAGGGACACAGTTTGTCACTTTCCATGGCTGTATGTTATCTGTTGTAGGTTAGACAGTGTTAGTGAAGAGATAATGGAGCCAGAGAATGCATCTCTGCATTTACATTATGCGCTCATTCTGTGCTTACTCACAAGTTTCTTTTCATCCCCTCATGCTGTTTCAGTTCTCCGATGGCTTCTCCTCAAAAATGTTCAAAAAAATTGTAAGTACCTCACTGATTTTTATCTTCTTCAAAAATCAACCAACCACACAAACAAACAAGCATACAAACACACAAAGAACAACCCAGAATCTTCATACTATGATGTGCACTGTAATTTGTATGAGAAGAACCCTAAAACGATTTTCAAGACTATTCTTCCATTAAAAAAAAAAA